ATCCTCCGTCCTGCAAACGTGTTTTTTTGGTCCTACGTCGCTTGCTTAACCGCTCATTTGCCATACGAAGCTCCTTGGTCTCGGCTCGGAGCAACACCATCTCATGCGCCAATTTCGAGATGCTCTTCGCTTGCAAGTCGATAATGTCGAAAATATCAGTGGGGGAGCTACTTTGATGGTGTTGAATTTTCCGCTTGAGTGTGCTGGAACTCAGTGTCGCTTCCTGCGCATTGGAGGGTGTCTTGGGGACCCAAGAGGTGGCTGTTCCGGGACGCGAGCTAGGAGGAGATGGGGTGATTGGCTTAGGTTCGAGGCGAGAAACCACAGATTCGGGGTCGAAAGGGACGAGGCCAGCTGCTTTAAAACCCGCTCGTATGTTATTCGCCATAACAGAGGCGTGGAATGCCTCGACAAACGCGTCGAAGAAGTCTTCCTTCGTAATGTGGGTGATCTGCATCCGCATCATCTGCTCGATTTGCTTGCCATACGAGGCCTTGAGCGGGCTGAAACATCCTACATCGAGAGGCTGAAGGAAGTGAAATGAATGGGGAGGCATGCAAAGTGTGATGATGCTGTTAGCTTTGCAGAAATCCTCGAAGGCGACCGAGTGTTGGCTTTCATGGCCGTCGAGGACGAGCAGCCGGTATATCCCTTTTGTCCGACGCCGGGTGGAATGATCAAAATGTTTTAACCAATTCAGACCAATCTCGTTTGTAGTCCAGCCATTATCGCTCGTGTGGACTCTCCATTCGGGCTGGAATCGGCTGTCCTGATACCAGGGGAGGAGGTGGTTTTTCCCCTTGACAACGAAGTAGGGCGGTACAACCCAGCCATCCGCACACACGGCCTGGATCACCGTCACCCATTCCCGATTGCCAGGCTGCTTCGTACGTGGCCTACCGCGGCGTTCCGAGCTTGTCACGACTTTTGCAGCCGAAAGTATGCCCATCTGGAATCCAGTCTCGTCGAAATTGTAGATATCCCCCTCTTGAATCGCGTACTTGTCAATCACGTTTCGTACAAGTCGAAACCACGTGTTTACCACGTCGGGATCTTCGCATTGGGTCCTCTGGTAATCGATTCGACGTTGAAAACGCGTCGTAAGCTCGTCATGTCGGTCCACGAAGTTGTTTGCCCATCGGGGTCCGACGCGTGGCGCGTCGCGTGCC